TACGCAAGTAGGGTTGGTATCGTAATGCCAATAAATAATTTTATAATGTTGTTACCTGGTTGTCTTTACTATTCCAAACTGACATATGTCCATTTGGAATGGACATAAATTCCCATCTGACATGTTCATTCGGAATGGACATAAATTCCAAACGGACATACAACAGTTCTGACTAGTCGAAACACAAATCGAAGATAGCCCTGTTTGAAATTTAAAAATAGTATTATTTCCCTTCGATTCTTTAGTAGAATAATTGTTGTTATTATTTTATTAGAGGTACCCTTATTTGTATTCACGGGTGTTTGAAACTTGGATAGGGAGTGAGAAGCGCGCATTTAATTTAATTACAAAAATAGGTCACTTGAGGCTTAATTCAGTCTTAATTGCACAACTATCGTAGTAAGGGCGATAGTACGAGCTAAGCATGGTAACATCCCCCGGTCGGCGAACACACCTACACGAAAGATAAATCGCTCTCGCAAAACCCCATTTTATTTCCCGACCGTACACTGATAAAGCCATTGTCAGGTGTGTGTTTTAATATTTATAGCAACAAAATAATTTGGTATTTTTATATAGTGTTGTGCAGTTAAAAAAATTACCACTATTAAGTCAAGCCAAACTTGGCATACTATTTAATCTAGTAAAGCAGATGCAAAGCTGCTCCTCGTAAGGGGTAGTTATTATTCTAGTTGATATCTTAAAATTGTTGATACTTCTCAATTAAAACTACAATCGTAAAATCTTGTATCGTATTTATACCTTTGGCAGGGTGTAGTTATCCACACTATCTTAGCATGCAGAAATCACTGCCGTTTACAATAAACAGTCAGCTGAGCAACTCATTTGAAAAGATTTTCTCTTATGTACCCAGCTCAGAAAACTTGTTCCAAGCAATCAGCAAAGAAAACGAAGCCTGAATGGTACACTGAACTTTGAAAATGGAATGAGTATGGAGTAATGAGGACAGATTTGCAATGGTTAGATTTCACAAACCTAACTGGGAATCTTTTGCTTGATGACTTCCATATTAATATAGAGATTTATGATGCTCTCTTATTGGTTGTGCCACAGTTCCAAAACTTACAATTTTAATTTTTCCGTCATTGCCTGGAATCGGGTATTATCTAAGACTATAATGCCTTCTTGGCGTCGTGCTGTGACATTCTCCCACATAACATAATTGAACAGAGTTTATTTAAAATAGATACTGCTCCGAATGAGACTCATGGAACGGAAATTGGGAATCGTTAATCTCATTCGGCAATTATTGCTTATAGATAATCCAATGAGCGTAGAAAACGATATAAATATCGACAATGTTTATGATGCCACTTTAATGCAACAAATAGTTGACATTATCAACCAAGTTGTCGGCCAAGAAGACGAAAGCGTTCAATCGGAGGCTTAGTTGGAATTGATAACGTTTTGCTCAGAAAAATCTTGGAGTAGAACTGACTGTTGTTAGATATTTGACTACATTGAGAAGAACAATATCACAAAGCAGTCTAGACTTGGCACGTCAAACTACGCTTAATTTGAACAGAGCTTCTTATAATTATATATATATGATTGATCTGGATATAACAGCCCCCTCAATATAACGAAGAAAAGCATCCACCCACCTACTCCTTCGTTTCACTGTGTGTTGAACAGTGGTGTAAATCTCCATTTGGAAATCATCTGCAGACTATTCCCAATCTGTACGCACAATCGGTTCATTGCTGGGGTAGTTGGAAAGCTCCGTTCGTCATGGCAATTAAATATATTAATATTGGGTTTCTATTTTATCCTGTTACACGGCAAAAATATTTCCTTTTCACCGAAATTTCACCCCAAAGTCAGATTATACTAACCTAGAAAGAAAACATTTCGCCGTGTAACATATCGGACATGTCGGATATTAATCATTGTACATGTGTAGTGTAACCGCCAAAATATTATTTTAGATTAAGGTTGTTGTACAAACAAATTCAAAACGAATCAATCGATGAGATGAATAGATGATTGAGCGACGCAGGGTAGGTACTTGTTTGATCTGTTACAATTATCAATTACATTGTCTAATAGTGAGGTTCGGCCTAACGACATTCAACCGAGATAATGAACTCTCTCTCGCTTTCCTTTACCAATACCGTAATAAAGTAAAATAAGATTGGTATCAATTGATTATGCTGCATCAGATATAAGTATATCTAATAATAGCTGGATCGGAAAGGTGAAGATTATCCACTTAACCGGTAATACAGCATTTACGACAACAAAATAAGAGAACTGATAATACCTTGAGAAATATTATGTAGTCAATGAGATTCACCCTGCAAACTAATAAATTCGACTATCAACTTGGAATATTAAATTCGGAGTCTATTTCCTGTACACTTTATCGCAGTGCTACACTTACACTTGCAAAAACACAAAGAAATATTTAGCTTTGTAGCAAATATCATTTCCTTGTTTTTCGTTTCGGCTGATGTACCCAATTTAAACGTGATACATCACTGTTTGAATGCCATAGTCACTAACACAAAATAATCAGCCACATTGGTAATATTCAACGTGAAATTCTGTCGGCTTCTTTGATTCTGCTTGTTTTCGCATCTTTGCCTTTCCAATCACAAGAGCTTTTCGGCAATAAAACTCAATTTCCCTGTTGGTGCGACCGTAACAATGAAGTTAGATCTTAACTGATATAGAAAATGTCTTTGCCATATTTGTCATTTGCTAATAGGTGGCGGGTAAAGTTCAAAACTGTCGATCCTCAATCAGAATCGTAAAGATTATTAGGGAGCCCGCGCGCAAAAATGGATACGCATAAATACTGACAGCATTGAAAACGTGGCAACTAAATTCTTTCTCAAGCGTGGCTTGCATCAATATATTATGCGCGTTCAACTCTCTCGCCTAGAGCGGGGTCCTCCACTCCTTTTCTCAATTCTTTCCATCATATTCGCTCTCCTCTTTCTCATCATTGAAGCACAGTCCTATGACTACAAGATTACATACAATGAATCGATTACGGGACTTACAATAGCTGATGCTACGGCTGATTTCGATGGAACAACGATAGTTTGTCTTAAAAAACCTTTAAATAAACAATGTTCTATGAACAATTTTTATCTAAGGGTCATCCTCCCAAACAACTCCATAATCGCATCAACCTTTAAACTTGCTCTTGACAATCACAATTATTGCGACTTTAACATTGAAACAACAGTGTTGACAAATGGATGGGTATATTTGACTTATATGAGGTCCATCGGAAGCTCTCGTTTCGCGCAATATGGAATTCCCGTCGCTTATAACGGGTTGTTAGGTGTGCCAAACTTGTTGGCCAACCTTAGCGATACACTTCCCGGTCATATTTTCAAAAGCATGGTGCCTGAAGCTGGTTTTCTGTATGCAAAACAAGTAGGCGCAAACGGTCCCGTGATCTGGAAACGATGTTCCACAGTGTAAGTCAGTTAATATTAAATTAACATACAATCCGTCGATCATACATAAATTTAACGGCTAATATTTTAAACTTGAAATTTTTCAGCGCCGAAGATAGTGGTGTCGATTGTCCTGACAATGGTACTTTTGCTCCCAAGGATGGTGCCCAAATACGAGATTTTAGAATATTCAGCACAGTTGACGGTGGCTTTATTTGTGTGTTCGCTACACAGATTCCGAATGAGTATGTCAATAGCAAGGCACAGCTGGAACTAGAAATATTGTTCCTCGATCCAGATGCCAATCAAGCTACCAAACCAACTACTATATACACGGGCCCACCAGGTATAGACAAAATAACCCTTGGCGACTGTGGTTTGTCGTATGACGGATACGAATACACTTGCCTACTGCTGGTTTCGACGGGTCGGAATCAGAAACTGCTTCAAGTAAATTTTTATTCAACTCGGCCGGGAGCTAGTAACGCCCCCCTAAAGACTGCTTCTAAAGATATCGTTGGTGTTGACAAAATAAGGCCATTGTTCAACGGAGGATACGTGTTACTTTATAACTTTGCAAAAGATGGTGAAACCTTTGTTAAAAGGGCAAAAATGATAGATCCAGATGGTAAAGCCGTACAAACGATATCATTCGTTAAACCGGTACCAATGCTAAATGTCTATCCAAGAAACAATACCATCTGGTATTGGGAGAATGATTCAACACAATCTTGGTCCATTGTATCTCATAATTTACCCAATTATACGAAATACGGTACGTGCTAAATACTGTATAATGATGGTTTTTATAAAAAACGAATTGCAAAATTGGTATCAACTAAAATTATTTACCCATGTTCAGGTGGTACTTACCAAAGTCCAAACGTAATAACAACAGCGCCTCTAATTGACAGTGAAATTGCAACTCGCAGACCCATCATAGACATTACCTACAACATACCGGTCAAACCAGCCACAGGAAATGTTACGATATATGCGACTGATGGCGTAAAGAAATACTTTCGTCAGTCATACTCGCCAATATCTTTCCAATACTGTCAATTAGATAAGCACAATCAAACATTGACTTTAGATGTATTGACCAGCACCTTCAATCAACCAAACATGACTTATTACGTCGTCTTGGATAATGGATTTGTAGAATCCATGGAAGATGGCGAGCCGATTCTGGGGATTTCTGACGGGAAATGGAAATTTCGGACAGGTAAACATGAACATCTGATATCAGCTTCTGGATCTTCTTTTACCAGAAAATTAATCTTAATCTTTCACTTTCTGTAGCTTCAATACCGACCAACGATGTCTACGCACCCTCTGAAATAGTAACTGTCCGCCTAAATTTTATGGGTACTTCTCGCTTTCTGCAGCTTTCCAAGTCCGAACGTTCAGCATTTCTTTCTTCCCTCGGCAACTCCCTTGCATTTATTATTCCAGTATCTCCATCACGGCTGTCAATCATCGAGAAATTCCAGGTGGCATCCGACAACGGCCAGAAACAAGTGTTGCTGTCGATTCAAGTTCGTGCTGGCACGAGCGATATGGAAATGGGTGTGAATTCGGTGATTGATGACTTGAACGTTTTGATTAAGAATAAGGGCATTACAGCGGTTTCTCGATACCCGGAAACTATGTTTTTAGACGAAAATTTTGGTGTCCGCATTGAACGTAAGTGTTTTGAGAATGCACAATTAGCGTGATGGTTAGATAATAGAGGGACATGTAGTTTGTAGTATCTGTCCCGCGCTGCATATTAATTTTGATACACTTTTTCTGTAGCTAACTTTTGGAACACATATAAACGAAATATAATAATTGCGGCAGCCGCATTCTTGCTGATTGGATTACTTTATCTTTTGGCACATCGTCTTAACCCAGAGGTGAGTACATCCAGTCTCTGTCTGTCATCTCAAATGTATTATATTCATGTCTTTTGCTAATTCTTGTTAATTTGTCTAGGCCAATAATGCAGTTATTTTTACTCTTGTACTGACACTGTATGATGTTGCTATTGACTTTGCATTCATTATACGAAATGGCCAAGATGTGCGATCGTTATATCTACCAAGGTATGAAATATTCAAAGTCATTTTTCTCTAATGTCGTCTCGTTTGTCCAAAGTTCTAATATTCTTTTATACTTTCTAGTATTCTTATTCTCGTGGTTTCAATTCTTTTTAACACAACAATGGCACTATACATAATGATATCAGAGAATACACGCTCATATCGATTTCATGTCTGGACCCAATCGTGCGCAAAGAGTGCTGCCGTCTTTACTGTTTTAGCAGCGTCAAATATTGAGGTTTTGACCGTGGCATACAGTAGATTATGTAAATCAGAATATTTTTCTGCGCCATTCAGTGAGCGAAGCTTGAAAATAATCTTCTGGGCGAGCACTGGAAGCTTTTTCATGGAAGATATGCTGCAGTTTATTATTCAGGTGAATAAAGTTATTAATAGGAGCTTGCGCAAATGAGAAATTTTAATGTCAAATTTACTCATAATCAACGTGTCTAATCTAAATAATGTAACAGGTTATTTACCATAGCAGAAGCATCACATACGATATTGTCCCACTCTTAACTCTTATCTCTGCGTCGGTTATGCTCACAGTTAATTTCATTACTCGGATGTATTACGGAATCACTCTGATACATACTTGCAAGGATGACGTTAGGCTTTCGGATGGATCTGTTTCTGAAACAACTGCGGCAAAGGACGCGCCTAATATCTGTTGAAAAGTACTAACTACCATAGAATGAGATGTATTTTTTTATAGAACTAGAAGTTTATTCTGTGTCTTGCCCGGCTTTGTCGGGCAGGCTTGATAATTATTATAGGGTTGCTAATAATTGTAATTGTAATTAATTAGAGTAGTATTATAATGATAATATTATTATCACTAATTTTATTATTAATCTCGTGTATTATGGACATTTAGTATGTAAATGTATGGGAGGATTGTTCTAAACGTTAGTGTTTTATGAATGCTAAAGAGAATCGGTTTTGTGGAAATTGTGTTCTTGATGCTCGTTGACCATTGTTGTAAAAGTATGCTGTCTGTTGGTAATGCATTTATGAACAATAACACCATGAACATATAATGCAACTCGTACGTTTGTTTGATTATACCAATTGCATACACAGTACCATGCTCCATAAGGAATTGTTTAGAAACATGACCCGAGTACTTGTTGTAATCTAACTGCCCATCTTGGGATGTGTTGGTCTGTTGTTGGTTTGAAATTCTGGGTGAATATTTAAGCAATTTTGTAAGTAATAATTGTTGATAGAAAAATAGTTCTCCATCTTGTAATTTTAATATTTAATGCGTCTTGGAATCGATGGATGTTTTGACATTGTCCGCAACGACCAAGGAATCATCTGAGAGTGTTGTCGGACGATTGTTGGAGAATTTCTTCGCATAACGTACGTTTGACTTGTTGATATTCGAAAGTTTTTATGGTCAACTGTATTTTTCCGTAGGAATCATCATTGATGTTTTACTTAGATTGATGTCCAAGTAATAAGAACATACTGATACATTCCATTAATCCATGTCTACGTGTTCGCGATATTGATTTCCTTCGGTTAAACACGTGGGATTACAACAATTTAGATATGGTTCTTATTCTCTATTTTTGTCAGTGCACGCGGATGTCACGTCTACCCTAATTAATTAGTGTACGACCATGATTACTATGATGGCGTCATGTGGATGCGTCATGTGGATGTCACTCAATCCTTGTGACACATCCTAAAGGGAATGTTTATTGCCCCAGCTGGATCTTTAATCGATAAGCAATAGGAGCTACAAAGTCAAAATTGAAGAAAAACCCTCGCATCACGCAAAATCCGCATTCCCAGAAAAATTGGGTTTCGAGATGGACACCCACAACTATCTATATAGTATTTGTTTTGAAAGGCACTTTCGATTACCAATTTTAGGATCTGATGGCTACTATTAAAGACCCTCAACTCTATATCGTCATAACCGTTCAACGAATAATAAATTGGCTTAACCATCCGAATGTGGATGAAAGCCTCTACAGCAAACACTTTCGCTTCAACACAGCGCTACCTTTATTTAAAAGGATGCGTGATCGTCGACTAACAAATAATGCCAATAAGATAAAATAAATAATATATACAATGTCATTACTGCAAGTCACAAATTTACAGTGTTCGGTAAAACCCATTCCATTCAATAAGACAATAAATACTAAACAATATTTCAACCCTGATGAAGGTATTAACAAATTATTATTATGCGAACACATCTTTTTAAAAAAGAAAAACAAATTTTAACCACACCCGCTGATGCCAACTTCTTGAACACCGAGCAACGCGGCAATATCTCTCCAACACATTTCCTATTTATCCATCTTTTCTTTCTTTTTCCATTCTCCACCGCCTTTCACACATACTTGCATTCATTTCTTACTCGTCCCGTCTCATCACTACTCAATATCAATCGTCTATAAATACATTATAATACTAATACATTGTCTATGCAAATCTAAAAAATAAATAATAAATAATTCTTCATATAAATCACTTGCCCATTGTCCATTTGGCTCTTTAGAACTCCATCAATCGGTCTTGTGTCTCTTTCTCCCCGTCTCGATATCATCTACCCGCTTCCGAATTAATTCAATCTCACTTCGATCGATATCCACGGCACGTTTTGTGAGGGCATGGTCTTTTTCCACGTACGCTAAATGTTCTCGCAACGCAGCAATTTCCCTGTTCTGGCTTTCGACCTGCTGTCTGAGAGAGTCTACAGACATTGAGAGAGAAAAAGGCGTAGCAGAAGCGGGAGGGGTTGTCGTTTCCGATGCCGTTGTTGCTATTACTGTTGTTGCCGTTGATGCTTCTGCTTCTTTTGTTACTTGTAGTTCTGACGTTATGATCGGTGTTAAGGGTTCTGTTGTTTCGGCCACTTTGGTTGTATTGACAGCCTCGGGGGTTTCTACTTCTTCTTCAAAAGCGTCTGCGACTTCAAAAGCTTCTGTGACTTCAAAAGCGTCTGCAACTTCAAAAGCGTCTGTGAATTCAAAGACCTCTCCGTCTTCCGAATTATCGAATGCATCCGGTGAAGCAACACGGCCTCGTCGAGGTTTGACCGTTAATATTGGTCTCGATGATTTTACGGGTCGACCCCGCCAGACGATTTTCCCAGCCTTCTTTTTCGTCATTGTTGAGAGATCTCGCCTTTTCGCTTTCCTCGACGAAGAAGCTGTGAATGTCTTTACTGACGAGATGTTGGATGTTGTTTTTCTCTTGCCAAAACGCATGAGCGGGACTGGAATCGGATCGAGCTATATTTGTTTAGGGATAGAGGGGAGAAAAGGGAAGCATGATTAGTTTCTGTTAAAATTCTTGTCTGGGCAGAAACACAATTGTTGTGACAATTCACGATCATGTGATAACTGACTAAGTCATCGTTGGTCATATGATGAACTATATATTCTTGGCCTGGAAAAGGTTGACCTCGTTTCATCGTCTCCCGGTACATCCGTTGTTCACATAGAACCGACGTCTCCCGATCTTAATCATTATATGATGGTGGTCGAGTGGAGCTTGTCATTGTTGTGAGTAATGCATCAAAGGAACGGATCTCATGCTTCTCTTCGCTTGGTTTCTGTCGCCGTTTGTAGCAAAATATACATGCCACCACAATGCCCTTTATATTAGAGCATTTATACAGCAACGCAGCAGACCAGGGATACACTAAAGCACAACGTGTCACCAATTCTTTCAATTTCGACTTTACCCAAATTTGACAGGTTTTTTTTGGTCTTACCCAAGGAACTGGGTATCGAAATTTCTCCATATTTCCCTGGATATATCACATTTTCCCAACTCCCATTCCATACGCAGAAAAAATCGTCAATATACATACCAAGTAATCATGCTCAAAGAATTGTGCCCATTCATCCAAGTCTTCGTAGGGCACTTCGGTTGGTTTCTCTCGACGGACTATCTTCTCTTCTGGTATGGAGATACGTGTCTTCTTATTTGTCGAGGAAGACGTAGGGACGATATCCTCGTCTATTGGACGTTTCCGAGAAGAAGACGAAGAGGAGGGAGAAGAGTGGCTTGTTGTGGTAAAGGAAGGATCGTGATTGAGTTTGTGTTCAAGAGAATATAGACAGAGAGAGTAGTAATATGTAAGGCGTATAGTATGATGATGAGAATGTTCTAATTAAATTCATGTGACTGCACATAATATCAACTACCACGTGACTGCACATGACTATATCAACGGCCTTGTGTTCCTTCTATGCAGGGTCAAGACCAATTTTACGTATAAAGGACTGCGCACTGTCTACTCGCTTTCGTTCGAAGAGGACTATGTCGAAGGTAATTGAGCTCTGCGTTGAGTTTGCAAGAACGGTTTGAATTTCACTCACAGTGAGTACGCTTACATATGCTCTACTAGTATCATACTCTAAAGTATCATACTCATAATACACCCTGTTATATATACTCCTTTCTGTGTCTATTTAAATATCATTAACCAAATGTATAATCTATAAGATCATATACCTTGACTGAGGCCAGGTAGCGTTTGTCCGTTTTGGTTGTTGTTTTCTGCGAATCCTTCTTGTCGATATCATTTCTTGCAACATGTGTAGAATAAAATTGTATAGCGGTAAATTTTTTTTTTTTGAGGATGGTTACTTTGAGCGATGGTTACTTTTATGAAAAATTTGATGTGACACAATAAAATTGGTATTTTATTTATGTCGTACTGTATTCACATCTCTTGTCTCAAGTATAATGTCGTTCATTACATTGTTACAAATTTGTAATCAAGCACTGTGCCTCAGGGGTGCGTCAATTAATTTGTGGGCTGATGCAAGACTGCGATACCGATGCGGAGTAGTTCTGGAGTGTGAGAGTGCGTCAGGTCAAAAGGAGGTTCTACAAAAGATGTCAATGGGGGAAGAAACATGTGCATATTATAACATTTGACGCAATTTTAAGAAGAAGCAAGCCTCAAGTGACTAAACCATTTACATGTTTTATGATTGTGACAAACAACAAGTTATTTCCTTATGACACCCACATTCCACTGACATGACGCATGTACGCCTGACCCTCATTGGTGATGTAAATTATTAGGTACTGCGCATCATTCATGTACATGTGGAATACCCAATGACTAATATTTATATTGTACAAGGCGCGCCCATTTGTGCGTATACATTTACAAAAGCATATCTGTGTTATATACTGGTTCAACACACAATTTCTAATCTAACGCCCAATGGTAAAGGTTTCGACAATAACTCATGTATTCAACATACACGGCTTGGGCACCTTTAGCTTCATACCCGCTCTTCTATCTGCTTATCAAACTAACCTTTATTTGTTCATTTTTGCAACCTTCTTTAATAACGATTATCCAGCCGCTAACTCTGAATATCCAACGCCAATGGTCCGCAGCATTAATTATCAAAAGAAATGACGCTCGCTATCCCACATTAAGGTGACTGAGCCGTTAGCCTCCTGCATACATACTGCGTCAGAACAATTGACAATCAGAAGCATGCAAAATGATATCGTCATACACAGGTTTTTGATATGGTAAAGATAACAGGCAAACCGGGCGGGCGTTAGGAATCCCCGAAAAGATGATAATCGAATGAATGCATGGTAAACCTTAATCACAACAAACGAATGTGGGTGGCCACAAAGGAATTACAGAACACAGAATCTCTTTGTAAATGACCGGTTGACAGCTCGATTTTCTCCTTATCTAATGAAACGATTGGTTAGTCTATGAAAACTTTGCCAAATTTTGTAACCAATCCTTTATTATTCAATGGCGACAACTTCTGGAAAGTGCCTTCTTATTCTCATTTGTGTGTGTGTGTGTGTGTTTACTTTATTACTTATACCATTAATAGTTAAGAAAATAAACCCTTTTTTCTTTTCTGATGATGGGCTTTATATAATATTGTTCATATATGCGTATTAGTATATACATTTTACATCTACATCAGGTATTGTTAGCATGTCGTTACAAGGGTTGTTTTGTTGGTTACCAACAACAAACTGTCTGCAATAGAGAACAAACGTATCGTTTGAAGGTGAAGGCATGTGTATTATGTATGATTCCCATACAATTGTCGTTGCTGAAACACGGAGTGTGGCATGTGAGATTAGACTAACTAGAATGTGTAACATAATCGAACTGCAGAACGAATATTCAAGTAGTTACTTCAATCACTTTTCCTATGAACGGTGAGCAGGATCGAAATCTCAAACTGTAAAGTCGTAGCGACTGCACGAGAAAAAAAGTACAAGTTCGATATAACAACACGCTCAAATGGTCGCTATCTATCGAATATGTCAAAATTTAACTTATATACGACACTAAGCAATATATAGATTTTTGTTCTACGATTCTGTCATTACCACAAGTCGTTATATCGACTCACTTGTACATTATGGATATGACATTAACCCTGTAACAAAAGATCGAATTGGGCTTTCGTTTAGTTTTAGTGACTGTAATTCTATTTCTTCATAAATGCACAAACGTTATAATTGACTGTTCATCCGAAAGTACAAATTGGGCACACGCTTTCATTGTTATAATTTACGGTTTTTTTCATGCGCAGCAGATCTAAGTTGTCGAAAGACAACAGTTTCTTTGCATAAGTCCTTTTCACATTCTTTTTCAGGTTAGGTTGAACCAAAGAAAGTTTTAAAATTTTGAACTTTATGTCACAGTTGAGGATTACTTTTCTAAGAGGGAAGTTTTGGTAACATAAACATCATACATTGACAGGAAGGTTGAATGTAAAGGTAAAATCTATACCTCCCATTGCTGAGGGGTGCTAATCATTTAAAATGGACAAAGGTTATGATCTGAACACTACTCTGTTAAACTATAGCAGTAGCTAGATATTAGTCTTACTTACAGTATGTTACAAAGCTTTGGCAAAAAATTTAGCATTAACAAGAATATTCATAGCTCTTCCAATATTAATATTGGATCAAGTTGTATCATGTAAATATAAGCATAATAATAATCATCCAAACTATAAATCTGATTGAAACATACTGGCCTGGCCTACAGGAAAGTTATTGATTGTCCCAAGTAACAGTCTTAACCAACCATTAAAAATAGAGCAGAACAAGAATACCTTAAAACTGTAGTGAATTTAATGATTCAGAAATGGAATACTATTTGGATGATGTAGTAAAGTCAATGCAAATTATTGTGAACAAATTTTAATATCACAGCTTTTGAGCTTTAGAATGAGGTACCTTACACATGACTCAGAGTGCCATACTGATAAATGCTAATTTTACAATAAAAAGTCTAATGGCGCTTCACGTAAAAAATTCCGTAAGTCTAATAAAAAATAAATCTAACACAGACTTGGCCTGACTCGCGGAGTGAGGACGCAAAGTGTCTGAAATTTTATTTGCGGGGCAAAGAAACAGTGTTTTAAGGCACTTTCGCACTATAATTTATTCGGTTTGCAAAGACTTTATGGGACCTGAGATAGTACTGGGACACATAATATCCGATTAATTTAATTGGATACATTGAAATAATTAATTGAACAAGCAATATATAACAAACTCATTAGATATTATCAAAACACATGGTTAGAAAAGATAAAAAAAATCGGAATTGTGAACGATGTGGATACGAATGTTTATCCCCTCAAATGCTTCGTTTACACCTCAATCGAAAAAATCCATGTCGCCCTCGAGAGTCGATACCATTACCTCAACCAGAGCCTGAGCCCGATTCTGACTCTGATTTGTGGACAGAATTTTTAAATTACTTGGGCATAGTAAACAATGAGGAACCTAAGGATATTTGGCCTGAATTAGGCGGTAATTTATTAGCAGACAATATATCGAGCCACCCATAGGGGATTTAGTTTTCGAAGAATGCGAGGTTGGAGATTCAAAAGACCCCATACCATAGATCCTTCCAATCAATGAGTAAATGGCAGTCAATTATTCCATCGCATAAAAACCCGGCATACCAATTTAATAATCCCATAGAATGGAGTTAAAAATATGCCGAAGCGTCATATATGCCTCAAGTCATATCACCTACCAGGGATCAAATTACAAGAATTCTCAAAGCGGAACTTCGAAAAAAGGATCAGATAAAATTATCGATAATAGTATATTGTAATTATATGCGAAAAGATAAAGGCGGGATGCGAGTAATTCTTTCAGAACATATAGATGAGCACATTTCTCTTACAGCAGGAGAAAATTTTAGGAGGCGCGTCAGGTTGGACACTTACCCGGATAGAAATGATATTTATTGAAGCTTATTTATACCGCCGAGCTACTGGTAGTTCCTACAAACCAACACCAAAAAGTCTTGCAAATAAAAAATGTTCGATAAATCCTAATAATTCTAAAACAAAGGATAATTTGTGCTTAATGTATGCTCTCGGGTCATACTTTGCAAGTTGTGAAGGAGTTAAAGATCATTTGGAACGCTTCTCAGTAATTCGTCCATATTTAAATCGAGTTAGTTTGGACGATATTCCTATGCCAACGCCAATTTGCCCACGAACATTTCAAAAGATCAAAGCTCAAAATTCCAAAATCTCCATCAATGTATGGGAATGGAAGAACGAGACTGCAACATCAAAACCGGTAATTGCAAGTAAAAAGTTCTATATACCAGGTTTTTGTACAATTAAGGGTTGTATTCATAATAAGTACCACGAAAAAAGACCGCATGTTATCCACCTTATGGCGCTTAGTGATACAACAAAGACAGACGGTAAGTATGCACTTTCTTTGGATTAAAAATCCGATGCTTTAGTATTCAAAGATAGCAATCACGAATACAAAAATATCTCTGCAATCGATGTTTCCAAAGTTGGTCATCGGAAAAATCACTAGCATATCATCAGAAGTGGTGTTTCGGATTAGGAGAAACTCCGCAGAAAATTACGATGCCGGAAAAAGGTAAAAATAACATCGAAAATTTTAAGAATAATTTACGTACCATGCGTAACAACCGCATATTTCGAGTCGGATAACAAAAAATTCGACACATAATATGGTGGTAAAACGCAAAAATTTGCAGAACAAAAAGCTAAAAGTTTTTGCTATATTATTCATTGGATAGATACAGGCGAAACATGGGGCCCCTTCATATATGAGGGCCAAATGCGACAGAAGAATTTGTCGAAAGAATCGGTAATAAATTAGTTCGAATTAATGAAGTTTTGGCCATCAAGGGCGTTTTTGAAAAACCCTTACTATTATATGGTGTGTAAACACCTTGTGGCGCAAAAGCACAGACTTGCTGCCGTATATCATACGGCGAGGCGGCATGATTATCCGTTCAATATTTTTGATCAAGAATAGCTCTCGATTCAACCCGATAATACTTATTGGAATAGCTCAGAGCATTATTATTATACAGTAATATATCAGAGGATTATGTAATCAACCGGTTGAACTGTCGCAAATATCAAATAAGCTAACACTGTTGATCGGCGACTTATTATTGAAGAAAGAGATCATTAGAGAACTTTAGGCGATTGCTAAATCGGGGGCTAGATTTAGCTGAAGTTAATGTACAACGATGGATTTTACGAAGCTTTCACAAAACTCGTTAAGCTTATCGCAGAGGGAATAACTGCCTGTGATGAAGCTCTTAATACTAGAAACAAAGACATGCATTATAATAGTCAATTGTATAAATATAACATATATTATTATATAAAAACTTTTTTTGAAAATTGTCACATATAACATTATACACCTAATATGGGGCATACCAGACAAAGTAAACATTTAATTATATAAGCTAAAAATGGTTGATGTGGCTGGAAAATCAACTAAGTGACTGATGATGTTTTGGAAAGGCTTTGCTTTAGCGGCGGCAAGTTGTGGTCATGCACAAACCTATTACTATGGCTAATTTTTGCTAAATGTGTTATGAAACTGATATAAACTTTAATAACACGTCATCATGTTTGATATGAGATTATGTCTATACAAAATATAAATCTACCATAAAACCCAAAAATTACAGCACAATTAGAAGTACAGTCAAACCTCGATATAGTAAAGTCGAAGGGACGGGGATTAGGATTTTTCTTTACTATATCAAAACTTCACTATATCGAAAATTTTTAATATAGCAAAGTTCATATATAAGTGGCATAAATCTTCACTATGTTGCGACTGGCAAATCTTATAGTAATATAATAATAAATGACTCAAACGTTATTTCTACTGACGAACCTAATACTGCTGAACTATTATATGGTACTAAGTTGTTTGACGCAACGAGTGTTATATCATACCGTTCAATTATGTAGTAACCTCTCGATTCGGTTATAATTTATTAAAAAACAAAGAAACAAAAAGGAAACAAGACGTAACACATACTTTTAATCAACAGTGTTTGTATTATGATTGGTCAAACTCCATCAGGTGGTACAATCTTCACTATATCGAGATACAATCCACTAATATTGTTTGAGAAAAAACTTGACTATGGGTGCTCTCATCAGTTTACCTCCTCTAACAAATTTGGCAGGTAGGTAAGTTAAAGGAGAGGTAGGTGCTCATAAGCTCTTGCCAAATAAAGTGGAAAGATTTCTTTATTGTTGATAAGTTATACATGTCATAGAATAAGATTGTAGTAGAGACAATAGTACAATTACTGTGAATTACTATTTATGGTACCTCCCCTACAGTGATTTTAGTAACTTCAATTGCCAATTCTGATAGGAGAGGTAGCTGATGAGAGCACCCTATATCTAATACAGTAATAACGAGACTTACTATATAACTTCATTATATCGAGGAAAAATTTAATAATACTGTTTTTTGGTCAGAGGAATTCTTTACTATAGCGCGAAATTTACTATATCAAGACTTTACTATATCGAGGTTTGACTGTATTTTAAAAAAAAAAACAGAGGAAAAAAATTGCACCTTATGTTTTTAAAATCAATGACACCCAAACTCTCCAGGAATATCTAGATAAAGAATAACCACTTATGAAATTTACCAAGAAGAACGAAAAATAATAACAATAATAATAAACAATAAACGAACCTTAACTTCAACTTATAATGAACCAAGAAAGAAACGAAAACTTGAAAAAACATAAAAGTTGCCACCAAGGCTCCACTGATCGAGTGACCTTCAAAAAAAGATAGCTCCTTATTGTTATAGTCTTGATAAAAGACTGCTTGAGCGCATCCGTTGAGTTTTGATTCGCATTTCGTTACTTGGATACAATTGCAAGCAAAAGAGTCAAATATGCTCAATTTTTCGTAAGCATAAATTTTATTATCTTTATTATAGATGTGACCGCTTTTGAAACATAAGTAATAATAAAAGCACCAGAGTAATTGCACGGGAGGAAAATACTGTATAACCTATTCTTTTGGTCACTCTGGTGCAAATTTAAATTCTTGATCTTCTTTACTATCACTATTATTAATAATATTATCACTATCGTCTATTTTTATATTTTCATTTTTGTCATAATTCTTTTGTCATATAATTGTTTTGGATCGTTCTACAACTTTTCGATTTCTGGCGAGTAAATTTTGTTTGCCGCTGACAGTTTTGTTATGGATTGTAACTTCATCGTTTGAAATAAAGCTCCCATATTATTAGGCTGACCATATAATTTTAAATAGACATGGCTCATTAATTAAGTGTTTTACTCACAATCTATAACTGCAGAATGTAGAATGATGGAGCTTAACAAGATGTATAAGTTTACTTATTATTACAATTGTTATTGTCATATTGTCATCAAAGAGAAAACATCAAAACAATAATAAAATTTGTGTAACATTATATGATCTTGTACATTTACAAATCCAGAATTCGGCTTCATATTTTCTTGGGGATGCAAAGAACGATTCCTCACAATGTATTTACGGTATTTAGTTCCCGGATACTAAACAAATGACCGAATACATATAGAAGAGGGACCATCATAAGATCGGCAAGATACGTAATGAAGCGGCCACTATAAATGTTGTCTCGGACAATAAATTGATGCCAATGTTATCTTTATTTTTCCAATATTATGATTATTATCATTCTTCAATAGCTATCTTCAAAATGTATTCACCCTTTTATAATTCAATAAGATCAAGACCTTTATTGTTTCTATGAGCTTGGTGAATCTCATCTCATTATTATTTGGGAAGAATATTAGATGTCACACCGAATATGTATTATGGAACAGTCAGGAAATTATGAAGTGATATTAGTGTAGCATATTTAATAAACAGTTGTCGCTACATATAACTTGGGGTTATGGGAATTAAAGATTTTCAGGCTTGATGTCGCTTTGTGGATTTTGAAACCCGATTCGGAAAAGAGGCTGCATGTTAGAATAAAAAGTTGTGATGCATTCATTCCCCGAGCCAATGATTTTACTTGGAGGTATTTCAGTGATTGCCGTATCAAAGCCCCCGTTTTCAAACAATATTATCATTTATCACTAGCAATACATGTATATAACTCACCGATGGACAATACCCTTCTCTTTGTGTAAATACTTAATTCCTTCAGCGACCTGAACAATGACGTGCCTCGACAAAATATGTCAATTCACTATCTGATTAAACAGCTCTCCGCCTTTCATGAGTTTGAGCATGGGTACAGTAATAGTAATCATTGGAACTCGCTAAATGAGTAAAACGAAATTATTAAAGGATGATTAAGCTGTCAGGCTTCTTTGAGAATGTTTGCATGCTTGCTTGTATGTCGGTTTGATATTGTCGTCAGGGAAGAATTGGAAGATTTGGAAGATCCGGAATATGCAGGCAGATTACCCTTTTGGCTAAAAAATGCTCGACTACTGTGGCCTTGTTGAAATCACTATCCTTAGCAAAGTCTGTTCGTCTCCTTATTTATCGAATAAATCTGGTGAAGCAACACGGTCTTATCGTTCCGGCGAAGATTTGACCGTCAATATTGGCCTCGATGGTTTTACGGGTCGACCCCGCCAGATGGATTTCCTAGCCTTCTTTTTCGTCATTGTTGAAAGATCTTGCCTTTTCGTTTTTTTCGACGGAGCTGCGAATGTTTTTACTTCCGAGATGTCAGATGTTGTTTTTCGCTTGCCAAAACGCATGAGCGGGACTGGAATCGGATCGAGCTATATTTGTTTAGGGATAAGAAGAGAAAGAATGATTAACATTAAGTCGCGCTTGTACTTGGGGAAATTGTAGCTGTGTTACTATCAATGATAATTCACGATCATGTGATTGTTGAACTGCCCCGGTTTTTTGCGTCTTACCCAAGGAACTGGTATCAAAATTTCTCCATATTTAGAAAAAATCGTCAATATACATACCAAGTAATCATGCTCAAAGAATTGTGCCCATTCATCCAAGTCTTCGTAGGGCACTTCGGTTGGTTTCTCTCGACGGACTATCTTCTCTTCTGGTATAGAGATATGTGTCTTCTTATCTGTCGAGGAAGACGGAGGGACGATATCCTCGTCTATTGGACGTTTTCGAGAAGGAGACGAAGAGGAGGAAGAAGAGGGGCTTGTTGTGATAAAGAAAGAATCGTGATCGAGAGTATTAGTTAGTGAGGATGTTCTAATTAACTATATCAACAGCCTTGTGTTCCTTTCTGTTATGACTAATTTTACGTATAAAGGACTGTGCACTGTCTACTCGTTTTCGTTCAAACGGGACTATGAATTGAGTGTTTGCAAGAACGGTTTGAATTTCGCTCACCATAAGTACGCTTACAACTTCATACTCTCTGTTATATACTTTTTTCTGTGTCTATTAAGCATCATTAACCAAATGTATAATTTCTAAAGATCATATACCTCAACTGAGGCCAGGTAGCGTTTGTCCATTTTGGTTGTTGTTTTGCGCGAATCCTTCTTGTCGATGTCATTCTTGCAATGTGTGTAGAATAGAAATTGTATAGCAGGTTTTTTTTAGCGATGGTTACTTTTATCAAAAATTTGATGTGACACAATAAAATTGGGATTGTACTCTTGTCTCAAAGTATAATGTCGTTCATTGCATTATTGTTACATATTTGTAACCAAGCATTGTGCGTCGATTAATTTATAAGAAGTGGGCTGATGTGGGAGTGTGAGAGCGCGTCAAGTCAAGAGATGGTTCTACAAAAGATGAAGAAACATGTGCATATAATATATTGTCCGCAGCGCTAAACTATCAAAAGAAATGACGCTCGCCATTCCGCATTTAGATGACTCCTCCTGCACACATACTGCGGAGGAACTATATTACAATATAACAGCAAATTGATATAAATTAGGTGTGAACTACAGGCGCTAGGAACCCCAAAAAAAGATAATCGAATGCATAGTAAACCTCAATTCACAACAACGAATGTGGTCGGCCACAAAGGAATTACACAAGAATCTCTTTGTAAATGACCAGTTGCTCGATTGACCCATCCTTTATTATTTCGACGGCGACAACTTCTGGAAAGTGCCTTCTTATTCTCATTCGCGTGTGTATTTACTTTATTACTTATACCATTAAAATAACCCTTTTTTTCTTTTCTGATGATGAGCTTTATATAATATTTGTTCATATATGCGTATATATATTTCACATCTAAATCAGGTATTCGTTAGCATGTCGCTACTTTTGTCGGTTGCCAACTAACGAACCATTTGTGATAGAGAACAAACGTACCAAACGTATCTTTTGGAGGCATGTGTATTATATTAACGGGAATGAGTAACGTGTGCAGCATATCGTGATATATATTTACAGTCACGTTATATCTCGTAGAAAATGTACGTTAATTCTATTCTTCAAAGTTTACCAGTTATTATGCGATTGCCAGATTTTTCTTTTGATTTGAATAAGATACTCTTTGCCAATGCAAGTAATGCATGCACATCAACAAAATGTGCTGTGTAGCGATAGTGACTCGTATTCGTAAATTCACGGAATGCTGAATAAGTCTAATAGCTTTACGTCTCTTACTTCAGTACTTGAACAATTTCTTTTTTTCTTTCGACACGGATTGAACACAAATACAATGCAAAACTTGATTTATAACTAAAATAACGCTACAAGCATGTGAATTATACGATCCCCAAATTCCAGTCATTTATAGAATGCGTATAAAGAATGATTAAATTAGAAAGAACCAAGTACGGATAAATAGCAAAGTAGACATCAAAACTAAGCCCCTCTAGACTTGTCTTTTATACTACCCAAAAACCTACATTTATGCTTCTGACCCGCCCGCCGTGTTTAATTCTTCCAATGCTACTGCTTGCAAGAGGGTTTTCTGTGCTGTATTAGTATCTTCTAGTGAAATGCGTCTATTAAAGGGAAAGAAAAATAAACAACGAGCATACATGTCAATACGATAAAGTTCAAGTAACTCTCTGATATCACATTCTCGTTAAGCTCACTTGTAAAAAGTCATCAATTCCTTTTTGCTGTATTATTCATCTACAAAATTTACATTCCTTTCACCAAGAATGTTAATACAGTATTCACATGGAACGCATATAGATGTTGATCGTTGATTCACTCGCGAAGATGCGTATCCGATCTACTTCCAAGAGTTTTACTACTAAAAGGGACACAAACACAAACACAAAACACAAACACAATACACAAACACAATACACAAACACAATACACAAACACTCCCCTTCACGTGAATGTGTCAATGTATTTTTTTATTCCACACATTGTTACTTTGAGAGATAGTATTTATTAAAAAGAAAAGAAAAGAAATTATACCTGTTAATGTTTATAAATACTATGTACAACAAGGGGATTGGTGGTAACCAGTACAAGAGAGGAGGGGAGAGATAAAATGTCGGTGCTCAATTACCAGATTGAGCTAAAAATATAGTAGGCCAAGATGATTATATATCAATCACAACCCTCCTCCCTCCAAACGTTCACAACAGTCTCAACGTTCTTGACACTTTTTGCATTTCTACCCTTCCCATCACACATACACATGCATTGTTATATGATTTTTACCCCCTAACTTCTATTTCCCTCCTTCGTCGACCAAGTAGGGTAGCGCCATCTAAATTTAACCCGAAATCAGTTAGGTTGGCCGAAGACGAGCCTTCCTCGTTTTGAACGTAATTATCATCGCTAGTATCCATATAATCGGTATCACTATCCTCGTCATCCGAGAATTTAGAGCTTAGACCCTTCTCTGTATTCTCCCTCTCATAATTATCCACTTCTTCCTCCTCATCATTGTCGAGATCGTTCATATTTCCCAAATTCCTGGCCAATATCTGTTGACGAAGATCTTTCGGTTGCGCTTTCCGCAGCATTTTTTTCCGTGCTCGTTCTTCCTCTATCCTATGTACCGTATAACAAACATCAAACGCGTCCTTTAGTTGTTGGACGCCCGGTGAGAGTACAGGTGGGTTCGAAAAGGGCAGCACATTTGACGTGGTCGGACTCATGATTTCTTCGATTTGTAGTGGAGATGAAGGAGTTGCTAGTGGATTAAACGTGGATGGTGCCCGAGGCGAAGATTGAGTGGGCTGGGACTCGGGTTGGGACAGCTGGATTGCAGAAAAGAAAAAGAAAAGAGAAAGCAAAAAATAGAAGGAAAAAAAAAGGGAACAAGGATGAATTTAGGATTAGTCAAGTGTGGTCAAATAACGCTAGACCCGCCTTGTTAGGCGTTTGCGAAAAGTCTTTTTCCCCATCCTTAAACCCTTTATATCAACCTCGTTCTTAACCCATGGATGTTCAAAGAATTCTTTTATTGTGTAGCGTTTTGATGGATCAACTTCTAATAGATGCGAAACCAAGTCTTTTGCTAATATAATTTAGAATGTTTGATTAGCCATTAATGAGTTTGATTGAAAATACTATTAGCATCGTCGGGTTGCTTTCATCGACGTAATCGATAACCACTTTTTACCCCAAACTCTTCTCCACTCACCAGCGTCACTGATTCCGTCCCACCAAGGACTTAAAAAGCTATATTGTCCTTTGGCAACCTTTTCACTGAGTACCGGTATACTCTCATCGTAGAACGGAGGAAATCCGCACAGCATAGTATACAGTACACATCCCAACGCCCAGATATCAACGCTCTTGCTATATCTTTCATCCTTGACAATTTCAGGAGCGGTATACCCAACAGTGCCACACGGCGTCTTTGTGTGCTGGTCCCATACGACCTTGGAAAGACCAAAGTCTGCAATCTTTACCCGCCCGATTCCACCGCCACCAACTCCGGGTATAAATTCGCCTTCTGGTACCTTTGGCTCATCCCCCGGAATTGGTGGGGGCGGAGGGACATTGAATGGGGTTATGGGAATTGGAGTAAAGAGAAGATTTTCGGGTTTGATGTCGCTTTGGAGAAAAAAAAAAAGAGGCAGTATTAAAAAAGTTGTAATGTATTCCCCAAGCCAATGATTTTAAACATGTATATTACTCACCGATGGACAATACCCTTTTCTTCGTGTAAATACCTAATTCCTTCAGCGACCTGAACAATGACATGCCTCGATAAATTTTCTGAAAAATACGTTAATTTCACTATCTGATTAAACAGCTCTCCGCCCTCCATGAGCTCGAGCACTAGGTAATAGTAATCATTCGACTCGCTGAATGAGTATAACGAGATTATAGAAGGGTGATTAAGTTGTCGCATGATTCGGACTTCTTTGAGAATGTTTGCATGCTGCTTGTACGTTGGTTTAATATTATCACCAGGAGAAGAATTAAAAGATTTGGAGGATTCGGAAGACGTAGAGTCGGATGAGAAAAAATATTGTGGAGAACAAGTAGAGGAAGCATCAGTAAGTTTAGAAAGAGGGGGTATAAATAATAGTTTCCACGGAGAACCGAGGGAGGGTAGCAGTAGTTTTGGAAAGAAAAAAGAAAGGCGAGATAAGTACAAAAAGCGAATTTAATGAAAGAGAGAGAGAGAAAGGCAAAGCAAAGTGTGAAATCAACCCAGAATACAACTTATTAGAACGTGTCCAGTTCATTTACGTAAACTGCTCTCCCTCCCTCTCGGATAAAGGAAAACATGTCTAACCTCAGTCATTTTCGGTTTCTTTTTTAAATCCTTGTGAAGATGGGTCTGTTGTCACATAGAATTTGTCAGATAAACGGGTTCTCTTTGATACATCGCCACACAACAGTTGATGCTTACCGCCGATTCTTTAAAGTCCCTTTTACGAACGATTTTTATTGCTACTTTTTGACCAGTCGCTTTATCAATGGCATTATAAACATTGCTGAATGCGCCTCTGATGGTGATGAAGAGAACGGGGAATAAATTCAGAGTTATATATATCGAGCAGACTCCTTGGTGCTATTGATAGTCATTCCAGTAATTCCGTTCACGTACACACACTCTCTCTCTTCTCGGATTCCCGTCGAACATCTCGGTTATTTGATACTTACTCTCCCATTTTCTCAATCAACTGGTATCTCTCTAAACCGGGATATACAGGCAGTTTACCTTTTTCCTCTCTCTCCTCGGCTACAATCTGCTCGACTACAGTAGCCGTGTTGAAATCATTGTCCTTGGGAAAGTCGTTGTTGTTCGTCTCTTTGTTCACGTCAGCTTTCTTGTCTACAGAGTTTGCAGCTCCTTGGATGTCATATTGTCCTTTTTGTTTAGCTTGTTTGCCGTGACGGATGAAATGTTTAATTTGATCGATGACGGGCATTTTGAAGAAAGCTATCGATTGTAATTGTTTGTTTGTTAGATAAAAAGTGAGGGATGTATTAAATAAGATCTCACACACGTTGAGAATTTATTAGTGGGTCGATGACATCTGAATGATGCAATCGAATCCAAATAGGTCCTAAGGTAGAATGTTTAGAATGTCGCTTTTTCTGTAAGATGATCTATATATATACGTATCATGTATGTAACTGAAAGGTAAAAGGCAATGAATTATAACAGGAAAGATTTGCAAAAGATATTAATTGCTATTTGATATTCAGAAGTTGCAAGGGGTTTATAACATAACATAATAATAACAATAAGATAAACGAAACGGATTAATCGGCTCATTAATTCCGTATCTATAGGACTAAGCATACATCAAGTATCTTACCCAAAAAGCGGTAAACTGTTGAAATGCAATTGGACAGATGTGGGAAAACGTACTTTCTGATGATGTAATATCATGACTAAACGGGTATAGCCGCGATTCGACCAGGTATTTGTTTTTCGGGATACTCCGGGAGGTATTTACTATTTAACACGAGGGATTAAGGTTTTTGGTCAAAGAATTGGCTTTTTTGACTCGAGTCGCAGTATTGTATGCAGTAAATGATGGTAATTATGAATAATTGGTGAAACGCACTTCGGCGTGGAAACTTGCCTTATGGATGTTTGGTCGACCCTGCCCTTGTCAAGATGATCGGCTATATCGCTATCTAATCTGTTATTGCAACAACCCATATTCGATATTATGGAGCATATTGTGACGACTTCCAGCGCCAAGAATGCGAACGACAATTACATTGAAAAAGTCCTTTTTAACCGTTATGTCATTATTTCATAATCAGTGGGTTGTACAACGCCCGCAGTGTAAACTGCCACTCTCCCAGAGCACGCACGCTTTTTGACCGGTATATTGTATACTATTACTATATAAATTCTTTCAAAACAGGGTATTTTCATATTAGATAATGCACTAAACTAATTTAATTTCAATGTGGAAAGGGTAAATAACCGATCAAATACTTTAGTAAAGAACATGACACCAGCGAATAACAAATGGCTATTTGCGATTTTTGCGGCTTTACATTTTCTGGCTAGTTATTAAATTCAGCAACATTGTCTTGTAATTACATTATTATTATGCGATGGTTACCCTGAAAGTAAAATTTATTTGGCAGAATTACGCAAGGTTCAATTTCTCTAAAAGGTCACCTAATTCAAGGCAACGAAACATGACGTACTTCGACGTCATAAATTAAAAGTTGCGCATACATGTTTTTGTGTTGACAATTGACAGTGCCTATTTTGGAAATTCATGCAATGCTAAAGAGTGCGTTTTATAGACACTTGGAATCAATATGCCAAAGTATAGGAAGCAGAAATGAATTATAAATCTGCTACATAGATTGTTATTCTCAAAATTCCAAGTATGACTATGCAAGGGTAGCTATCGGATGGTTTTCCTGGTCACTTTCACCTACCTTCAATCTAAATAACTGAAAGCATACAATTAAAGTGTGACTTTGTAAGTGAGTTGAGTTCGGGGCACTGTTTTAATTGGTCCGTAAACGATGGTATGGTGCCAGTGTTGGAAGATTATGATTATGTTATTCCATTCTAAGTACCATTATATGACAATATTGTAAACCTTATATGCTATGGAAAACGCTTTCATACTCAAGTATTAACGAGATGTTCCCCTGTACTTGGCTTTTAATTTGACCATCAATACTCTAAATCACGCGAGCGGGATCAAATGACACAATTCAACGTACTTTGGTCACACACTTTTTGTGGCGCCCAACAATTTGCTTAAATCTCGTTCACTTACCTCTTTATCATTTTACCTCTTCTATCTCATACTACTTCAAACCCAAATGACTTCTCAAGTTCGAACAAACATACCGTCCTTTTCCACTGTAACGTCGAGTTTCAAATCTTATATCAAATCACTGCCTTTGCTAACAACAACAATAGCAGTAGAGGCAATACTAGTGTACATGCTGGATGCCATACAGATATTTGGAGAAGATAAAGTGTTTAAGGCTCTTGGTTTACTACCGAAAAAGTTCTTTAAAGGGGAAGGTTAGGACCGTGTGGAGGGCAGGGAAAAACGAAGGGAAAAGCCAAGGGAAAGGAAGGGAGTGCGTGAGGTTAATCGTAATTTGGGAATCGTAATTTGGGAATCATAATTGGGAATCATAATTGGGAATCATAATTGGGAATCATAATTGGGAATCGAGATTTGACCAGCATACCATGGTTTAATAAACTGACGGCCTTTTTTTACCTTTGCATTCCCTCTATCCCCCATGCGATTCCTATCCCCTGTCATTCCCCCCCCTCCCTTCTTCCAACTAAACAGTATACCGTCTTGTATCTTATCCCTTGCCACATCTCACCCTCGGACATCTTTTGTTCAATCTTCTCGTTTTCATTCCGCTTTCTTCCACAATCGAACATACACTTGGTACTCTGGAATACCTCTATGTCTTGTTCAATGTCTTTACGCTCTTATCCGGATCAATGTATCTTGCATTGTCATCGTTGTTTGATATTACCGAGAATGTCATAATCGGTGGCCTAAGCGCTTGGGTTTTTGGCGTTGTCGTTTGGGAGAGTCGAGAATTGGCCGGACGCGAGAGAGAGTAAGTTGAGAGATACTTGGAGCTGGCGGAAGGAAGGATGAGGGGGAGGATAGCAATCAAGAATACATTATATATGTATGATAAAGACGAGTTATACGGGTTAAAATGCTACAAGTCGTTGATATTTACTCTTCTTTTTCGTTATCTTGTCCCAGTATATGCGGTTTCTTCAGAGTGCCAGCTCATTTTTATCCACTCGTTCTGCTCCTGGTCATGGAAATCCTCTTCCAACATTCGTGGTTTCTTGCTCATTTATGTGGACTGTTTGCTGGGTTTCTATGTGAGTCGATTTCTAAATAATTGTTCGTTTCTTTAGACGTATGCTCGTTCATTTGAACAATCTTACGATGCTCACTTGTCACATAGCTAATGCGTATTCCTTCACCATATTAAGATTCCTTTGGCTACCTCTCGCGTGTCCTTCCTTCGTCTTCGTTCTTCTCTCGCTTAGAATCACGTGTACCATTTTCATGGATGGCTAAATTTGGTAACTTTGTTAAAGTTTCCGAGGGCAGTCGTGGTGGTTGGTGGTTGCCACTATGGAATGACGATACGCTGGAAGATGCGATTGATACGTCTGGAGAGGATGTTGAAGAGCAACCGTGAGTATAGTTATATTTCAGTTTATGGAACTCGCGTTTATTATGGACGGCGTAAATCCTGATTCATTCCTATTTCTAGCCACCCAACAAATTCTCAGCCACCACAAACACAAAAGGCAGCTCGCAAGCCTACCCAAATCACGACGCCTGTTTTCGCTGTTGCGTCTTCTGCTTCTTCAAGTGAATCTACGTCTCCAACTGTTGCTGGCAGTGAGGTCATTAGTGCGATTATGAATACGAGTGAGAATAAGAGCGGAAGTTTTCATATCGAGTTGGGTGGCAGTAGTAATCAGGGGGAACAAGTGAAGGATGCAAATGAAGATGGATCTGGGACTCTTTCTGGTGACTTATCGAAACAGACGATGAAATAATCAAGACTAAGAATGTTAAACTATTATTATCTTTTGGGTGCGTGTGTGTGTGTGTGGTTTGAAATATTATTAGACAAATTCAGCCTACAATCAGAGACTATAATTCCATCTTAATAATTTGTATATATAAACAGTTGGCATTTGCTTATTATTAATAAACATAAATTATTAATGAACTACGCCAGGATCACCGTCAAAAAAGTAGAGAGACATGATTAAAATACTCGTATAAAAGTTCTGCGGTATTCGAAAAATCTAATTTTACTAATATCGCAAAGAAAAATCGACATATACGTATTCTTCGCGTTTCGAAATTATCCTTCCTGTTGCCTGTAATTGTTGCAAGATTACTAAGTTTTCATCGGGCCGAAATACAAGTATACCGGTAAGAAAGTCTCCGGGGTCAACCTCTATTATTAATTAACAAACGTTCGATATATAAGAAAGTTCTAAAAAATTTTATAGGGAGTGATTTAGTTCCCCCTATATATAACTACTATAGTGAGTATTAACAATATAGAACGGAAAACCCCCCGGTTTCTTATAACGGGTTTTTGAATATAAAAGAACGTGCGTGGACATCCGCGTGGAATCCCAAATGATTTCAATGACAACATTATTACTTACCTGTTGTTATCTGTTATTTTATTATAAAATAAAGTGTTAGCGCTCTTCCTTCCTCCCCTTCACAATCGCGACATAATTCCAAAGGTAGGATACCATCTCACTCTATAATGGTAGCAATCAACAAATATATTACGGCTATTGTTTTCGGTCTCTGCTTTGCGATTGGAACCTATTCCGTTCCGTTCAATTATTCTAATGAAACATATGTTCATGATTGTAATTTCCGGTAGGCAATCAACAAAGAATAAAAAGAAAGACAAGTGAAAGTTCTTAAAATCCGTGGTAATATGTTTTATAATTTCTAGGCGTACCATCCAATCAACGCGGGTAACAACAACAACTTGTCTGCTGACAACAACAACTTGTCTGTCGACAACAACAAAGCAAAGGTATTTCTTATCTTACATGTAAAACGTCTTTATTTGGGATTGAAACTACAGCAAATGTTCAAAATTCCAATGTTTGCATACAGTGCACTTTCTCCTACTTTATTACCACGTCCAAAAACACCAGCCTCATTGCCCTCGCCTGATAGCAATAGCCCGGACCGGATTTAGTGCAATCAGCAATCAACTTTAATATCCTGGTCAGAGCGATAATTGGTATGACCTCTCTTGTCGCTCTTGGTATGGTTATTTATTTTGTTCGGGCAGAAGGCTCTTCGGTTTGTAAAATTAAATTGTTTATTATTATGTATTTTTGCAATAATAATAAATGAATGGAACGGATGCCGATATTTAATAGCAACTATCATATCAGTTTACATAGGATAAATTTTCATTTAAACCAATATTTTGTATTAGAAATAAATTTATGAGAAACGTTTTTACCTTTTCGAATACCACACACTAATACTTTCCTGACTTCCGTATAAGATATTTGATGTTACACACGATCCTGCGATTTGATTGGATTGGATTGGAATGAGAGAAAAACTCCCTCAAATTTTTTATCCCCCACACACATGGCTCGACCTCGACGGCGAAGAAAGATCAAAAATCCGTCAACCAAAGTGACAAGGCGTAATGCTAATAAGCATTTCAAGAAAGTCAGAATTACGGTACAGAACATGCACGTTAACAATAACTGTCTCGAATCTTTTGTTCACCTGAATTGTTACTATTGCAAAGTATTTTATCGTCTATTAGGGACATGACCTGATTGCTGCAAACTGGGATCCCAAGGCTACGCTTCGGCAAAAGTAAATTTCATCACAAACTTTCTGTTGCTACATACATTGTATGTGATTGGCCTTGTGTTTCTCTTGGCTCATAAACTCATCGACATCGTTTTCAATCGTTACAGCTATCAGAGACTAGGGCTGATGTCGATGCTGAATGCTCCGGCCGGAGGCGTTGAAAAGGCGAGTCTGGATATTGAGGAGGAGGAACTTGATGTGGAAACATTGAAAAACATTTTGGGTCCAGATGCGGGTATCATAGAGCGAGATGAAGAGGGAAATGTCATAAACGTTATTCTGGGGAAAAGTAAAGAAGAACTAGAAGAAGATGTGTTTGATAAGGAAGTGGAACCTGTTCCAGCAAAAACAGATATTGTGCGGGGTATGTGATCAAAATGGTTTGATTGTGTAAATTTGCATATTATACGAAGATTTCCTAAACACAAAACGCTGTTTCAAAATGTTCGTAGCTCTTGAAGAAGAGGCTGCTGTCGTATATAAGAAAGAAACATTTCAAGGAGCATCACAAAAGCAATTTATTAAACAACTGATCGATAAACATGGCAATGATTACAAAGCAATGGCACGGGACATTAAACTCAATATATATCAGCATACTAAAGCTCAACTTAAGAACAAGTGTGAAAAATATTTGCGTGAACTGCCAACACCCTCTCGATAACCCATAGCAATTTGTTGTAATATATAATTGGTAAATCCTGGCGGCGTATCAATGTAATGAAGGATACGAATATATAAAGTGAAAATGTGTTAAAAGGACAAATAGAGTAACAATAACGAAATTATTAAGCGAATTATGAATCACTGGCGTTAGAAGGTTACAGGACAAGTGTTTGGCAAAGATATCAGTAAGTATCATGTGCGAACTTTCTAGGAACGATATAGATTTTTGAATTATCCCCCATTTCTCGTCTTCCCTCAGATGACCAATAGCGTTCGAATACCGTAATGGGTCATCGCGACCGTTTCCGTTACTCCATATATAAATGGAATGGTTGTCTGTCTGTAAGATATTATTACTTTATCATCTAGTACATTCCAACTATTCATGGATGGACAATGACTTTCTCCTGTGCACCCTCTTAGAATAAGATGATATTTTCTGTGCCTATTACTATTACTATGTTACTATTACTATTATAGTCAAGCGAAATGTGCGAAGATGCGTCAAGTTTGAAAGTCTACGACCTCTTGTAAAAGTTTAATGATCTTGGGCTCACGTAATAGCTCTATCTCATACGTGAAAACATGCAGAGCTCGAGTAATAATGGGCTGTAAAGTTCTCAGTTGTTGATGTTGAGCTATGCTTGATTTTAGGATGGGATTTCCGTCAAAAGACATTCATGGGCAAAATGAAACGGAAATGCAATAAGTGTAAATCTTACGAGTCAAGGACAATCGGTGTTTATGGTTGAATGTAATATGTAAAACCTAACTTAATTTTTAAATGTTGGGACACAAAATATAATCTTACTTTAACACTACTTGCACAATTATGCTTTAATATATTGTTTACAAAAGGACTTTAAGGTATCGAGAATAGGAAAAAGCAGCTAAAGTGGTGTAAAGAACAAAGACAGTGGAATAATGTTATTTGGAATGATGAATCCCGCTTTTTTTTTGTATGAAAATGATGGCAGACATCGTGTATGGCGTAAACCTCACAACCAATATAATGTAGACTGCATGTTTCCTACTGTAAAAAGTGGTAACGAAGGTATTATGGTTTGGGGTTGTTTTACTTGGCCCTTTAGTAGTTGTTGATGAATCAATTACAGCAAACACATATAAAATGCTGTTAGAAGAGCATTTGTTAAGCTTTGTCTTGAAGATGATATTGTATACACGTTTCAAGACGATAATGCACCTAATAGGAGTTGAATGGAAAGAGGAAATTTTGATTGCCTCTCTTCCATGGCCTGCACAAAGCCCAGACGATGTGCTAAAGGCAGAATGGTTAACAGCGATTTAGAGAAATTGGTAAATAGCATGCCATATAGAGTCGGTGCTGTGATTAAACATAAAGGGAATTAAATTCAAAGAGTTCATAACTAGACGAGTTTATTGGTGTAAAGTTTGTTAATATTGTCGCAAAAAGTTTAGAATTCCAAGTAAAATTTACGTTATCATCATGTGACCAATAGTTTCCGTTTTTATTCTTTAACTAGAGATGCTTGAGATATGCTTCGCAGAGATTTGTGTTAATTGGTTGTATCTTTTGTAGGGAGAATCGATTCATAAGGTAGTGCATATAATAAGTTGGTG